AAACGCGCACAGTAGAGAATCAGAAGGTTGAGTTCGTTAACAATGGCTACTATTTGTTCATAATTGAATGAATTACATGGCACAGAAGAACCAAGTACTAACAAACAGCTTATTGTAATGCTTTTGTGTCAAAAGATATGCTTGCCTGTAGAACTAGTTCAAAGTTAGAGGCACAAGCTGGAACATCTGTATCATCCAATATCTGAATTCTTGCTCCTGTTGTATTCACAATTTCCTTGATTATAGAACCACCTAAACCAACTAAACAGTCAAACTGGTTTTTGAGCACAAGGGCTTTGGCCGAGAATTGAGATGCCTTCTCAAATGATGAGTGTATATTGCTTTCTATCTCCATCATTCTGTCATATATAAGAAGTAGTGCACTTTGCACTATATGATATTCCGAGTCTGGGCTCTACAAGGAACAGAAATCAAATATATAAAATGAATGAGATGTACAATATGATTCACAAAAAGCATAATACAAACAAAGTTTCTAGATTCATAGAGAGATGTAGAACAGCCACTTAACCATTGTGAAAATCGTTATCTTATCAAACAAACAGTTAAACATGGGCTCTAAAAGAGAGAATAGCAATGGGAAAAGGAGCTTTTAGTGTTCAAATTCAAACCTCTAGGGCACAAATTGTTATTACACGCTCCTTGCAACCAGTGACAGGTGCACCAACATCAATACAAGCACCAGTTTCATCTTCGATGCCTTTGATAATCAAGCCCCTCTTGCCAATCAAACCTCCAGCAAGATAGGTAGGCAGGAGAAGTCTGAATGAAACTTGCTGAAGAGTTTTACTTTGAACATATCCTGTATTACCTTCTGGACAATGAGTCTTAGCCGCACTGCCTTGTGCAAACTCTGTGGATGCCTCTGAGCACGAAGTTCCCATATTAGGCCTAGGCACTTCTGAAGATGCCCATGGGAGTATTGAACCTTCTTTCTTAACGTAATTTGTCGAGTTACCGATTGGAAGGTCACCTTGAAGACAGCTAGACAAAGCAATTAGAGCTTTCCTTACAGCTGTTCGATCTCCAGTTATCTGAAAAATAATAAGAAACACCAACTGAAACTGTTGAGTAGCAAATCACAGCAATAAACTTTCTTGGTAATTAAGCATTTTCTGAGTTTCATATGATCTAATTAAAACTCCACAGAACAGGACCTTTCGAACAAAAAGTTCAATGGGAGTCCCTGATAATTTAGCAAGCCATTTTACGCACAAGTTCGTTTTGCAGCAAAAGAATCAGAAACCAACTGGATTATTCATTGCTACAGTGTTTTAGGTGATACAAGAACAAAGTTTTGTTATCTATGTGATTCATTGCCCTAGATACTATAGACCTAGCCTATTAGTTACTCATACTTTTTCTTCCAACATGGAAACAAATACAGAAATGGACTCATGCTGTTAACTCCAGATGGTAAGAATACACTACTGAAAGAATACATAACTAAAATGCAGTGATAAGAACAAAATGGATCAAGTTCAACAAAATAATATCACACTGGAAAAAGTGCACAGCATGCCAAATCCAAAAGAAGCTGAAGAGTATTGTTAGCTTCTATGCACACTACCTCTGTGTGCGAAATGAGCTCCTTGGACTTCACATTGTGCAAGCTTGTGCGAATCATCCATAAAGATAATTCTGCTGCATAGCAACAAACAACTATACCTGCTGATACTGCAGCAAAGAGCAAGCTGCGCCTTTAAACAAGTTGCACCTTTCTATGTTGTTGTTATTATTATTATAGTTAGGACTCCCCTCTCCATGTAAACAAAGACGCTCAATCAGTTTTTCCATGACACGGCACTAGTCCTAACGCGTGAGTTCACGTACAGTATGTAATCAGTATGTAATTGTATCTGCACATTTCCCAAAGAAAACAAAAAGGGAGGATTTGCAATGCACAGTGCACAATAACAATTAGGAAGTATCAAGTGTAGCACGTTGTACAACCACCAGCTTAATAGAATCGTAGAAGAGAAAATGGCTAGTATACCTCGACGACCTCCTCAGGCGGCTGCCCCCGCGGCGGCAGGGAGCCCTCCTCCCACATCGCGATGCGCACGTCGGCGCCGGCCTCCAGCGCGATCCTCTCCATGACGCCTCTCCCGGCCGACGCCTCGAGCCGGTCGGCATCGACCAGGAGCAGGCACGTGACGCGCCCGGGCGGGGCCTTGCCGAAAGCCTCCTCCTCGCCGGCGCAGTAGAGCGCCCCCTGGATATCGATCACGGCGGCCAGCGCCTCCTGCGCGGGCGAGAGCGCGAGGGGCTCCGCGGACGAGGAGGAGCCCTCGACGCGGCGGACGGGGGCGGCGGGGCCGAGTACGGCGGCGACGACGCGGCCGCCCGCGGAGGCCGGGTCGAGGGGCTCGACGCGGACCTGCAGCGCGGCGGTGCGGCGGCGCAACGGGTTGACGGAGGCGTAGAGGCGCATGGTGTCGGCGTCGGAGAAGGACGGGGGCAGGAGGACACGGAAGGCGGCGAAACCGGCATCGGCATCGGCGTCGGCGGGTCCGGCGTCGGGCGCGGGGGAGGCGGCGTGCGGCGAGAATTGGGGTTGGGGTTTCGCCGCGGCCATCTCTGGTCGGTGGTTGTGGGGTTTTCGCCGAGGAGAAAGTGAAGGAGCGCGGAGCGGGGGAGAACTGGAGAAGCAGGTGGGGTTTTGCCGTTTTGGTGCGGGTTTTCAGGGGTAGTCTGGGGATTTCGTGGCGCGAGCTTTTGCGCTGTTTGTCTTCTTGTTGATGTTGTGGGCCACGGAGAATCGGAGACTGGGGGGAGGCCCGGACGGCCCGACACTTCTTCGTTCCAGGCCTCTCCTCCAAGGGCCCAGCTGGTACGGCTGTTTGGTATCTCAAGAACTTTCAAAAAATATTAGTAAATTAATACCAAGCGATAAAATGATTAGTGAGCTCTATTTTTGCTTAGTTTCTAAAACTCGAAAACAGTCACGAGAATGAGATCTTTTCTAGCCGAGTTTGTTGACACTAGTAGGCCCCTTTGAATCCTGACTCAGACCTGTCCGTGGGCCTATAGCCAGTGAGGAGCGTGCAGTATTCAGCGCCACGAACCACCGCTGCCGCCGAGTGCTCAAAACACAGACAACAGGCATCACCGAGCAGGTAGGCACAGGAGAAGCCAGCCATGTAAGGAGGCAAACAGAGAAGAGGACTGGCTACTGTGACTGTAACAAGTGCTCAAGACTCTGGTGGCGAGCAGGCTCCACCTCCTATTGGTGAGCCCAGTGTTTGATCAGGCTCCACCTTCGAGCTGTATTCTAGTGAACGGAGTAGATAGCAATGATAAAGGAAGTAATGATTTTTTTTAAAATTTGTGAAAAATTGTAGAACGCAGTTTCTCCTGCTCAGATTCAGAGCTGACGCTCATGTTGTGCCTTCACTTGGGGAGAAAATATGCAAGGCACTCCAAACCGCTCAGCCCTTGTTTAGTTCCACCAACTTTGCACCTCCAAAGTTTACACAGTGCAAGATTCTTCATCACATCACATCACATCAAATCTTTGACACATGTATGGAGTATTAAATGTAGGTAAAAAAAATAACTAATTACACAGTTTGGTTATACTTTGCGAGACGAACGTTTTAAGCCTAATTAGTGAACGGTTGGACAATTATTACCAAATACAAACAAAATACTACAGTACCGCTACAGTACACGGTGTTTTTTTATGTGCAAAGTTTAGGCAACTAAACGCACCCCAAGTTGTGCCCGTCTGTCAGTTTGATACAAACTGAGCACAAGTCCTTGCAAGAAGAATACAAGTACTACTATTAGTACTGAAAAAAGTGGAAAAAAAAACACGAATAGTACTACAGCGTTGTTAACTCTTGCAGGAACCTGACAGCCTGATATATAGTACAACTTTACTGTCCGAGATCGCTGCCTCAATTCACAGAGCGTCCTCAGGGGTCAGGGCAGCCCGCCAGCTGGCCTGTTCGGCAACACTGGAAAAATAATACTGTTTTCACTGATTGGTGTGAGAAAAAAATACTATTCTAACAGAACGTAAACAATGATTTTGTGAGTGGCATGGCCAGCCAGCCAGCCAGCAGGCAACCTGCCAGCCGAACAACCTATTTTATTTTGGACATCACCATGCATGCAACTTTGCAGCTTTCCTCTCTCTGCTCTAGCGGGTCTGTTCGGCTGGTATTAAAGTCGACTGATAAGCCGACGGAAGCTGATTTATTTTGGGAAAAAAATACTATAGATTCTAGCTGATAAACCGACTGATAAATTCAGACGAACATATGCACAAAATGGTGTGAGAGACCGTAACTGGCCAACGCTCGCCCCAACGGCACCCACAATGGGTTTCTAAGCATTTTCTTCGTATTTCAACAGAAGAGAGAGAAAAGCTACGTCTCAATCAAAAGCTAGTTTCATACACATATTTTAAGAATACGTGAGAGTGTTATATGGATCTAATCATATTATGAGTCATTGCTAAAAGCTAATACTATTGAAGAGATTGGCTTAGAGCTAATAGCTGACTTTTACTGTTGCGGATGCCTAACGGGTGCTTGAGCTTTTTGTTAGATGAAGCTGTAGACGCTTCTGCAGGTTACTCTGATGGACTGCGAGGCTATCATTGTGCATGAGATGGACTTAACAAGTGAGGACGTGTCACTTGAGGCTACAGGACGTGGTGGAGCGTTGGGGACGGCCTCATGGCTCATGAGGACGTACGCATCATTCAACATTCAAACGAGATTTTAACTTCATTTATATTTCTCGAATCATTCAGGGAGCGACCATTACATGGATCGAGTAGGTACATACTATTGTGATTGATAACACCATCACACAAATTAATGACAAGGTACAAAGCGAACAAATCTCTCCAAACCAAAGGACACACAACCAACAACCCGCCGGAACTGCAAACTTTCACAACCTGTCACCCACCATCATAGAACTGCAGGAAATGCATGCATTGCTGCTGAAGTATTATCAGACTATCAGTGGTGACCATCGATGCCGATGCCGCCACCACCACCGCCGCCGCCGCCGCCGCCGCCACCGAAGCCGCCGCCGTTGCCAAACCCAAAGCCATTTCCCTTGCCAAAACCACCGCCGGAGCCACCGCCAGCGCCGCCACCATATCCACCGCCGCTGCCAAGACCACCACCCTTGCCAAAGCCGCCACCGTAGCCACCGCCGGAGCCAAGACCACCACCCTTGCCAAAGCCACCACCCATGCCATGCCCAATTCCACCGCCAAGGCCGCCGCCTTTGCCATAGCCTCCACCGATGCCGTGGCCGATGCCGCCGCCGAGTCCGCCACCCTTGCCGTATCCACCGCCAAGGCCACCACCCTTTCCATAGTCACCGCCGACGCCATGGCCAATGCCTCCGCCGAGGCCGCCGCCCTTCCCGTAGCCTCCACCGATGCCGTGGCCGATCCCTCCTCCAAGGCCACCACCCTTGCCGTACCCTCCGCCAATGCCATGGCCGATCCCGCCACCAAGGCCTCCACCCTTACCGTAGCCACCACCAAGACCATGGCCGATGCCACCTCCAAGGCCTCCACCTTTCCCGTACCCTCCACCAAGGCCGCCACCTTTTCCGAACCCGCCGCCGATGCCGTGGCCGATCCCGCCACCCAGCCCAGCGCCACCTCCTCCGCCATACCCACCGCCTCCACCGTAGCCGCCTCCCCCGCCGTAGCCGCCTCCCAAGCCGGCACCCTTGCCGAAGTGCTTCTTGAGCCACAGGAATTTCTCGTCGGCAGCGGCGGCGTCCTTGTCCTTGGTGGCGACCGGGCGAGCCCACGCGCCCACGGCCGCGCTGCTCAGGCAGAGCAGCAGCGCGAGCGCCACCACCCCCTTGCTCCCCATGGCTGCTATAGCTAGCTAGCTAGGTGCCTGTACTTGTGAAGAAAGATGCTGCTTGAGGCCGCGGTGCAGTGGCCGCGCAGCTCAGCGGCTTATATAGCCGTGACCGGCTGACCGCAGTGCAGTGCAGTGCAGCTAGAGAGAGGAACTGTGTGGGCTGAGCTAGCATTAAGTGATGGCTATCTGTGCACTGGACTGGCCATGTGGTGGGGGAGGACGGTGGCCATGCATGGCGGTGGCCCTGGCGCTGGCGCAATAAAGGAGCGAGGGTGCAGCTGGTGGGTGGATGGATGACTGGATGAGGGGAGGAGTAAAGAGGGTTAGTGCAATGGTGCAGCAGACAAAGTGGCAGATGGAGATGGATGGAGAAGAAAAAACCATCACGGGTTCGCCGCCATTGGCGTGTTCGGCCGTCGGCGACTCGTGCATGTGCCTGCACACATCCGTTCCCCGAAGCGATGGACGGAGAGATCGTAGGCGCCCGCTTTCCATTCCATCGCATTTCGTGATCATTTTTCTTTTCGTTACTAAAAAAACAAAGGATATCAGAAGAATGTTCACCTCGATTTGCACTGTCAGGAGGACTGTCTCCGTGTGTGACCCCATTGGCAGAGCATGAGCGAGGGAATTTTCAGACTGCGTACACAGTTGCGTGTTTTTTTTTGGGTTCTAACACCACCAGATGGTATACTAAATAAAACGGAAATAAATACATTTCTGGTGTACATGTGGTTATTAAAATACATTTCTGGTGTACATGTGGTTATTGCTGGTCGATCCTGGGCCTTTTGCGTTGGCGCATGGCGATGGCCAAGTTTGGCAGCCGGGCGAAGGCACCCGGGTTGGTGTTAGCTAGCTGCCTGATGAGAGGAAATGAGTGCAGATCGAGTGCTGGCCGCGCCATGGATAGATATGCATGATCGAGCCGTACGTACTATCGTATCGATCTAGTACAGCCATGCATGTATGAATGCGTACGTGTTGCACGTTACATGCCGGCCGGGTGCCTTTGGTCACAGATGAAGGCTGGACGGCTGGTACAGCGGTCAGGGGCTCAGCAGGACAGTGGCCGTGGCGTGCATCATGTGCTGTGCTGGTGTGGGTTAATGAGCCTCGATCACCAGGACAATTCGGCCGGGCACTCGCGAGTGTTCTTTTTACAGCCGTCTCCTCTTTCTCGTTCCTTCTCCCCTCCACCTCAACAGTTAGCCAGTTTGCAGCTCCTTATTATACTTGCTCTAAAAATGATGGACAGAACTGCTAACCCATGCTAGTTGTGTTAGATTCTTTGGTTCAAAATGAAAATACTATACCTTCCATCTGCTCAGGAGGTTGAACTTGGAGCTCACCGTGGCCTATTTGGCTAGTATTAAAGCCGTCTGATAAGTTGACTGAAGTTGTTTTGTTGTGAGAAAAAAATACTGTAAATTCTAGCTGATAATTTTAAGCGAATAGGCCCAAAATTCGGCAGGAAAACATCTTCACCTGGTGGCTTCTTCAGAGGAAAGGCTGTTTCAAAGATAGCAAGACCGGGCTTTGACTTCCTGTGTTCTTTCTTGTCGGTTGGTCAATCTGGAAAGAGCGAAACTGGTGCTGCTGCTGTAGCTGTATCGAGCTTTGCCTCCTGGTCGCAAAATCCGATTTGTATTATAGCCTACTAAGCAAACTGTGTGTGGCTCCAGGTGGTAATCCTCATTACCAGCTTGTGTGCCCGAGCGTTGGTCTGTGCTGCGTATTCTGCTTTCTTTTAATGAAATGTTAGCACGGTCACGAGAAAAAATGTATACAATTGCTTGGTTTTTTTTTGTTCTAGCATCAGATGGTAATACTAAAACGGAAATAAGAAAATACATTTCTGGTGTACACGTGGTTATTCCTGAGCCTTTTTGCGTTGGCGTATGGCTAAGGGCCTGTTTGATAAACTAGGACTAGTGATTTGTCCAACTAGTTGGGTTGTATGGACCAGTGAACTAACAACTAGTTATGACCCTAGCTAATTGTGAGACCAATCACTAGTCTACATGTTTGATCTCGACAGCTAAATTTTAGTCGACTAGTTGTTAATTCATAGGATCAAACATGCCCTAAGTTTGGCTACCGGGCGCGCGCGGGCAGCCGGGTGTTAGGTTAGTTAATTACTGCTCTTATTACCGCTCCTACTGCGTGCATGATGAGGAAATGGGTGTTAGGTTAGTTATATGCCGCCCGGGTGCCTTTGGTCACAGTTGAAGGCTGGTACAGTACGTGGTCAGGGGCTCAGGACAGTGCCCGTGGCGTGCATCATGTGCTGTGCTAGCTGGTGGGTATTCTCGCCAGGACATTCGCCCGGGTACTCTCGCCAGTGTTCTTTTTACAGCTCCATATGTAGATCATGCATTGGCCTGAGATCTGTCAAATTTGAGACGATGATGCATGCCGCAATAGCGAGTTTGCTAGCCAGGAGAAGTGGAGAACGCTCAGCTCCTCCTATCTTACGTGGACATACAGCTAGCAGCGACCCTAGGATCTTGTTTGATGCACGTGTATTCACTTCAATCCATACGTGTTGAAGTGGAATGAAATGAAACTTAGTTTAATTACACTCTAATCCACTTCAACATATGTAGATTGAGATAAATACATACGCATCCAAATAAGACCTAAATACAAGCGCGGCCTGTGATCCTGCAGAGCCGATCGCCCGGTGCAATTACCGTTTAAATGGTGGACATAACTGCTGCTAACCGACGCTACTTGTGTTAGATTCTTTGTTCAAAATGAAAATACTACTTCCGTCCCATCTATTCAGTTTAGTTCTGATCATCCGGTGAAATTACTGTTTAGTCCATCAACCCATACTTCCGCGCAGATTACAATCTTATGAAGTATATATACTTCTGTTAATTTGCATCCTTTTCTCTTTGCTCATTTTCTAACACAATTAGTATATAGATACTTTGTAATCTCTATTTAGTGATAAACTTATTACTTATTAATCTATACATTAATTTTATCCATATATATAGTTCTTTTCCTCTGCATGGCACCTCGATGTATCTTTAATATGCATTTAGTTGAATCCTTAGCTTAAATTATGGTGGCTCCTATTACATCTCATGTCTCATGATCTTATCAACCTAGATTTTGATTATCAAAATTTGAATTTAGTACTTGCTACATTTTAATCCTTAGTTTAAGTTGAGACTCTTGTGTTTATGTTGTTTTTGAAAACATATAAAGTTTTTTAAAGTCCAACTTACAAAATATATAATCATGGATTTGTTAGTTTCATTGGCCTATGGTTTTTTAAGAGAACATTTGTCATGCTTAATAAAATATTAAAAATAAATATTTATGATAATGTGTGCGTGTTACTTTGGTGCATATGGTGGCAAATAGCATTATGCTTACTTTTAATTTAACTATCTATGTTTTTTTGTGAAGAAACTTTTATGTAATTTGGAAAAATACAACATACTTTGTGGTTATCGAATAATTGTTCTTAATAGCTCATATTAGTTTTTATATGTAGATTGATGGATATTTATTTTATTTTTATAATGACAAAGGTGGGTAGTCTAAATACAATTAAAGATGGTCCTTTATATTATCTGTCATAATGTCAGCTTTTGGTAATTTAGATACAAAGGGCTAGCTACCTTGCATTATTATACTTCATAATTCTAGATGCAGGTAATTTTTAGATGCAAATTAAACTCAAGGGCTACTTTGTATTATTGTCCTTTTGTATTGCCAAATGCATGTAAACTAGATACAAATTTATGTGGTTATTTTTAAAATATTCTTATAATGATAGAGGTGGGTAATTTATTTGTGATTTTAGAAAGTTATTTAAATTATGTTTTATAATGACAAATGTGGGTAATTTAGATGCAAATTTAGAAAGTTATTTTACGTATTTTTTATGAAGGTATAGCATTGGTAACCTATTAGAAAATAGAATGGATTGCTATTATTAGTAACTGTGATTAGAGTTTATCAAATTGTAGAAAAGATAACGGTTTAATCGATAATTGACAATTAAAAGTTGAGATTCATCATCTGAGATACACATTTGTAAAAAAAAACTCCCCTCTTTTGATATAGTGGAACGAAAACATCCACTGTTATTCAGATCAACTACTGGTCGACGGATCGGTATGCATGGTACCACTATATATACACGTAATTATGCTATGTAGCATCAGCACACATACTGACATATACACTTAGCTAATAGTATAAGCCCATACGTCCTTTGCTTGGCTATCTAATAGTATAAGCCCTCCCTAAAAAAACAAAAAAAAAATAGCATAAGCCCACACGTACACTTGGCGTGTCCTGGCGTGGTCTTGATCCTTATATATATTGTACGTGCATTTTCAAACTATACATATCAGAGGAGGAGCGGCAAATATACGGCATGCATCATGCATGGATGGTTTGGGCCCCGTGTTCTACTACTGTGCTTTATGTATACGAACGGATCGATGGGATCGGAGATATCAATTATTAGAGGCCAGGCCGTTTGGATACTTTCATTCGGGTTAAATTGAAATCTACTTAATAATTTAGACTATTTGGCTTAGAATTTGATATTTCACCACTTTCCAAAGTTCACATATAAGTCTATCTGAAATTCATAAGGTGCGAGCTAGAAATTTATTATATACATTATCATTCTATGTTTCTACTTTGCCACTTATAACACGCTTTTTAACTTGCCCCCCTATGGTAGAAATACAACCCATTAGTATCTCTCGTATAGCCAACAATAATATACAAATATAATCCATATACAACCATATTAACTTAATTAATATGTGTCTAAATTATAATTATTAAAATAAATTCAATTCTAAGGATCCAAACTGGCCTTTGCTCTTATTCACCTTGAAGTAAAGTGCCGCATGCATGGTTGTTCTAACTAGCTATATAGTCTCAGTACAGGGTACGTGTACTGTACGTGTACATCCTTGTGCTTAGTTAAGTCCCTCTTGGTGAGTTAATAGCTACCGCGTGTA